TTTTCGGGGCCTTTATACACTAGGTGTTAAGTCCCGTGGCTCATTAAAMCAAACCTTAACGCTGGAGCAATGCGCGCGATTGTTTTGTGCTTATGGAATGTCCTTCCCTGTACACTGTTGCCTAGTGTGTGTGCCTTGGCTCTTTGTTTGCTTGAAATCACCTATTGTTTATTTTCTTGATAACTGAGATTCCACAAGAGTAAGGAACCTAAAGAAAAATAGAAAAATGATCGTAAGAGTTTGTTTAATTATAATGTACCTTAATTCTGATACTTAACTTTTATGTAATTATAGTTGATAATAGCAGATAAATTTTGGAATACGAAAATGCGTTGCTGCACCAACGAACAGTGTAAACAAAAATTTTCCTCAAAACAAGTCAGGGAAAACTTCACGAAAACGCCTTAGCAACGCACTTCTCTTGCTAGACCCCAAAACTATTACTTTCGACGATTGATAAATAACATGTAATTTCATCCACGACTTGGTAATTAGAATTGAGTCGCCTAGAATATGATGAAATGAAAAATCCTAACTTTTTCTACGTCATTCACTGCATCGAAATGAATTGAATTAAACATTTTCAATCAAATTAAAATCCACGAATTGAAACTAGGAAGTGTAAGGCCCCGTCCACACTATGCCGGATAAATTTGAATCCGAATTTTCAAACCGAAACCGAAAAGAAAGTTTTCCGTCCACACTAACACGGCTAGCCGGCGTTTTCAAATTGTTCCACTTTGGAGACTGTATTCGAAAAAATTCGTTTGCGGTGACTCCGGACTAGTGTGGACGGTAGGCCTAACCGAATGAGTAAGAATTCGGATTCAAATTTATCCGGCATAGTGTGGACGGGGCCTAAGATTGCGATTTTCAGAGCAATCTCTTGCCATGCTTGTTTGTAGAGGTTGTTAAACAAAGAAAACAATTTACACCTCAACTTTCTATAGAGTCGTGTTAGCTTTTAGGTTAAAATCCTACTGTTTTGTCCCTAAAGTCAAGCTCCTATTGGATATTCCAGCAACGGTTCATTCCGTCACAATTTATAAAGACTAGCAATAGGTAAACAAACAAAAACACCGATAAATAGATACTTAAACCAACCTACATCTTAAGAATTGAGGATTTTTACGCCAATGTTTTGTTTGTTGATATCCTTTGTTTGGAGCCACATTCCTCTTTTAACAAACTTGATATGAATTTATTCTTTGTTACGTTGAAATTCTTTATCAAAGTTGGCTTTCAGCATTAATTCCAAAACGGTATGTGTATTAGTAAATGAACGAACAAACAAGTTAATCACGAGCACCTGGGGAAACTTTCAATCAGCCTAAGCTCGAGGTTTACATTTAGCAAGTAATTTTGAATACACAGGATTAAATAATCAATAGAAAATTTAAAATGTTCATGTTTTTGAGCAAGTTAGTATGGCAAGGGACTAAAATAGAACAGGTTAAATCAAATAGCTTTTGTTTCCTCTTATTTATGCARCTTTAGATTCTTTCCATTTTTTTCTCGGCACACAATTCATACAGATTCAATAGAACCGTTTGACGTCATTCCAGATTGGTTCTACTTTAAAGTAATCAAACAAGAAAAGTACATCTTAGAACTCTCTTCAGATTGACCTTGCAAACCACATGGCACAGCGATGTGTGGTTGTACGAGTTATCCTAGTGCTATCGGATACAGCCATGCACATAACAAAGATAATGAGCTCTTGCGACAAAAATTATCATGAGAAGATAACAGCTAAAAGATGAAAAGATTACTGGGAATGTCTCTGTGTAAAACGTCATTTTGTTTGGATGAAATGTTAGTGATATTCACCTATTACAGCGTGTATGCACGCGTTTCTCCGAGATAAAGTCCCAAAAATCGAATGTTTTCTGTTGATGAATTGTCCCATTATCCGCTTAATACTTAAAAACGCGGCAATGTGACTTAGAACGGATTAGTAGGTCCTTGTCGGTAAATAGAACTTGCTATGATCGAGTGAATTAACATGGAAACATAACATTCTAGTGTATATCAGGTTGTTGAGTTTTTTCAAATCAGCGAACACTCGCATCCTTACTACTTGGTTTCAAGAATAACGACGGTTTCAGAGAATTTCTCTTCAGATAATAATTTCATGATTTGTATTGCTTTTCCTTTTTTATTCTCGTTAGATGAAGTCGTATAAAAACCAGTGAACAAAGCAGTAGCCCTCGGGAGGTATGAAGGCAGTACTGAGCACTTCCGTGGGTCTTTAGTACCGACACTTGCAGATTACTTCCTAATGTCATAAAGAGCTCAAAACAAGTAGAGATAAAAAACTCATTCGTTGCTTATCTTGAAGTGTAGTGTTTAACCAACTAGTAATGACCTCCATTCTTTTCTGTCTTTTCGTGTTTCTTAATTATATAACTATTTCTTCGAAAATAATTTTTAGTTTTACTTTTGTGGATCGACACCCTATTGGCGGGCTTCTAAAAAAATTCTTCCCAAAACTGAATTATTCAAAACATGAATGTTGGTATCAAAAACGACTTAATTACAAAGAATTAGTTGATTACTAAAAGAAAGAAACCGAACCCAATGCTCGCATCCGTTGTCAGTTGTCTATGGAAACTTATATCACAGCGCTAAGGGGATAGGAGTATGTTTATAATGTATCTTTGATATTTCCCAATATCTGGAATACATTGACCATTTAGTAAACCTGATTCCAAAACTAATTGCGATTCAACAACTAATACGTACATAACAGTAAATTAGAGACTGAAAGTAGTTATTTGACGAGTACATTTGTCTCGGGAAATATGGTGAAAACCAATATATTTAAAGCCCAACTAAAATCACATAGAATAGATTTCGCTCGAAATTTGGCCTACGATATTAGTGAATTTATCAAAAATTGCGAAAGAACAAAGAAATTTGATTTCGATTCAAGTGATGAAGAGAAAAAAGAAAAGGTTTTAATTGTGGGAAAATTTATCTATCTACAAATATATATTGAACTAATGCCTGTCACATAGAATAGACTTCTTTTCAAGAAGGGACAAAGAAATTTCAAGAACATTAGCAAAGGACAATAAAAGTTACATTTATTTATTTTTTATTTTATAGTGGAAGAAATAAGCCCTTATTGGACGACACAGCTATTCGCTTGACACACGAAAGGAAAAAATCCCGTTCATCTCAAACAAAAATAAACCATTTGTAGCTTGAATATTTGGACAAATCATTACAGGGATCAACTGTCCTTCCTGATGACTTGGCTGAAATAACATAATTCTCTTTTAATACCCGCCAAAATATTTTTGAGTGCTTTTTCGTAAGTTTATTTTATTGTTTTATTTCATCATTCGCGAATGTTTTCCTTTTTTACCCCGCAGAACATTTCTTCATTAGAATATACCTCCATGGCAGGGAATATAACATGTCTTCTTGATCGGATGAAAAACAAAGGCTTGTCAAAGAATATACAGAAAGCGTAACAAAGAATTTCAGGTGAGGTATTGTTTAGGATGGAGATAAACGGCTTTGTATTAATTGTTAGTTTCTTATTTTCTAAGAAAAAAGAAAWAAGAAAATGTCGATGAACAGAAATTGAGATCCGCTTTAACATTTACTAACCAGTCCTAATAAAGAAAGAGAGAGAGAGCTTCGCTTGTTTTTGTATGTATTAGACAAGGAAACTTAATTATATTACTTGTATTTAATCGTGCTTTGTTTCGCTTTCAAAACGTAGCGTTGTGCACTTTTCCTGGAAGCTAAACGGAGAATTTTTATAGAACTAGTTTTCATAGCAAAGTTGAATCAATCCGACATTCTATCTTATTTGGAGACCGAACTCCTCCTCTTCTAGTGCCTGTTATTTAATACATGTTTTGTTTATAAAGAAGCCAACATCGTTTTTTAACTAGCGAATTTAATTGCTTCAAACAAGTATTTAGCTCATTTAAAAAAATAATAACTAAATGGCTTATGATCCCGGCAAAGTAACATAGATTGGACTTTAATTTATTGCCCTAGAAGGCATAAAGAAAAGTTTCGAACGTCTTACATTTTCGGCTATGTTAGACACTAAAAGATATCAAGCACCTCTTATTGTTGTATTTTTTTGACAGACATAACGGATGATTTGAACGTCTGTTGGTTGTCGTAGTATTTTTTTTACGATCATTACACCTCCCGGTCGTTATCCAAAGCATTTTCTTTCAACTAAGAAAAATCAGCGTGAAATTAATCTAAACGTTTATAGAATTTAGGCTTAAATGAAGAATTCATTTGTAGCGTCTGGTGGTAGTTTAAGTGACGTCGATCTACGGAAGCTGCTGTTTTTCTTCACTTCAAACAGCCACTTGAGGAAAAAAGAAAAGTAATAGCACTTGCATTTGCTAACTTTCGAGACAACTTCTCCCGAGAAGCGCTCAGTGTATTTAGCATTGTTTACAAAACGTGTCACCTTTTTTCCTCTGAAATACACTTTGTACAACCCCTTGAAATAAGAAATTTGTTTGCTGTATTTGTATACAACGATTTGCTATGTTTCTAGGCTGTTTAGCATGATAAAAGCCCCAGTCGTATTATTGTTCATTTAGTGCAATGGATGAGTTAAGTATGTAAATCTTAGCCATTACTAAACAACGAGACAAAGTAGTTTCGGAATAATTCAAATGTGTAAGGGGAATCTTATACTTTCTTTATTTTTGCAATAAAGAACGACAAACGACCTTGATTTTATTGATTGCGAGTTCTTCGATTTTCCTTTGGACATTGGTTTTTTGGTGGATTTAAAATGCGTTTCTATTGTCATTTTTTTGATACAGTTTCATATAATAGCTTAGTCATTCTCACTAGTTGAATTCGGCAGGATGTCGAAGACAATAGCAACTGACATGGCACGTATAAAATAATTACCCAGCCGTTCTCAACGGTGATTGGCCAAGCAAACGCCCAAAAGTGGCTATAAGCCGGACTTGTAATAACCGTGTGCCAGTTTGAGAGGCTCACACTATTGCAAAGGTGGAAGTTTTCTTTTTTTATACAAAAATTACGGTTAAGCAAAAATTATTTACCCATCAATGGAGAAAACATCATTTTTTGAGAGCCAAACTCAGATGCCATCACAGTTTACTTACTCGATCACGAGTCCTGACGATAAAAATCTGAAACGTAAACGACGAAGGAAATCCCCAAACCAACAAATAGCTCAGAGACACGCAGCAAATCTCCGTGAACGAAAACGTATGCAAAGCATTAACGAAGCATTCGAGGGACTTAGAAAACACATCCCGACATTGCCTTACGAGAAAAGACTGTCCAAAGTGGATACATTACGCTTGGCAATAGGTTACATTGGATTTTTAACAGAGATGATCAACTCTGATATGAGTCACAGTCAAGCTTTGCAACCTTCACGAACAGAACAACCAAGAAAAGTGATGATATGTCATCGAGGATTCGGTAAGAAATCATTTTTATTCCGTTTATACAACTGCACTATAATTATTCAAGTCCGGTTTCAATCCATCTGGAGTTTTCTCACATTCATGTAGCGACCGTTCCTCAAAATATGACGTTTTGCTTATTTTTGCATTTTTGCTAACGTTAACTATGAGTATTCATTTTTAATCATTTCAAGAATTATCACATACCTAGCTTTGAAAGACGTCTATTAAACCAAGATTTAAACATTATGCTCCTCTTCATCATAACTTTGTTTAATAATTTGTTTGTCTAGCATTTTCAGTACAAAAAAACCTTTGCTCATTTAAACTTTTGTGTTATTGTAAACAGCTTCTCAGAATGAATACGGCCTTCCACCGTTAACTGGCCATTCACTATCATGGACTGACTCCAAAAAGACCAAACCCGTAACATCAACTATGACTGCGAAGATTTGGACACCCGAAGACCCTAGAATGGATAATCCTTCAATGTTTACGTCTCCGTTATGAAAGTACAACGACGCCTTAGTCTTACTTGGGGGAAACAAAGTTAATGCCAATTGTATTTTAACAAAGTTCAAATTATTTTTTGATAAACACAAAAATATGCTGCTACATAGAGACATGAATAAGATGGATTTGCACTTTTTGTGTGCTTTCCTTGCTTATCGATAGGATATCCTCGACCTGGCGTGTCGTCAGACTGTAATATAGTGGACTGCTTGGTTAAGATAAAAAGGAAATATTTAAATAGAAATCTAACAAATCTTGTAAATAGCTTTAATAGTCAATTTTTTCACATCAAATACAAATTATATATATTAAAATTTTTATTGAAAAAGAAATTGAGAAAAAATAATGAAAAAAATAAAGATTTCTTGAGAAAAATATATGCATTTATGTATGATTATCTGGTGGGGTTGATCTTTGATCGAGTTATTATCAAGCAGTTTCTATAACCGTGTGTGATCATGGGGGATTTTACTTAAAGCTTTAGGGTAAGACAAAAGGTCTAAACAACACGACACCAGGAGATATTATTAAGTTGAACCATTCGTTTGTGCTCTACAGTGGCTGACCATGCATGCAAATGAGACATTAATGAGTTTAGACTGAGCCCTTTTGTTCCACATAATTTGAGTCCTTGATACTGTATCTCAAGTTTAAACTTCAAATAGAGTCGACAAGCAAAAGGTGTATCTCTTACTCCACAATTCTTTGTTTCTGGCAATGGTTTGTTTGGTGTGTATTGTTGGGCATATCTACATTCCTAATCTCTAAGTTTTTTTTACGTGGGGTGGGTTTCTCAACTTTTCCGCTCTTAGCAGACCTTATGGCACCGACACTATCTCACCAAGAGTAAGTTTTTTCCCCTCCAACTACCTGTTTCCTAAGAGCAAGTGTGTTAGGGATACGATCATTGACTTATCTCGTTCTCACAACGACCAAAAAAAGCATTTCACTGTTACCATCTTTCACACGTGGACCATATTTGAAGAAAAAACATACAACATTTGTGTTTGTAGTAAGGGGATAAGAGATAATGCAAAAACAAGGCAGTTATGGCCTTTGGTTCCCATTAAGACAAAATACTTGTAGAGCCGTAATTAACTAAGTCTGCTCAAGTGCGGAGTAKTTTAAGATTGAGCATTCCACAATGGGACGTGGATAATTAAATGGGGTCCACTTACACAGGGGGCACGTGTACAGCCAGGCCTCACTGAGGGAGGCATTATATATACGCCCTAAATCTTTACACTGCATTAATCGATAWACTTTGTCTTCCCCAGACAAATCAAATTTCTTTAACCCGATACAGTTACTTAAAATGTTGTTATTGAGGGGCACTGGCTGTATGCACGCATGAGGCGTTAGCCCAGGCAACAAAGGGGGATAGAGGGCCAATGACTATGGACATAAGAAGATTCCCTAAGATTATACCTTAAAGGTTTGGCTAATTGTTTCTGTCAGTGATGTCGGTAAGCTCTTTTGTAAAGATTAACCTAGTGTCCGTTGCTGGGTCTAATGGCCTTCTTTCCCATCCCAGCTGCAAATGTGTAATTGTTTAACAGACAAGCAGCAGCTGCGGGGTGACTTTTCAAGAAGAAGAGCCATTAATAGAAAGATGGAACAGGTATTATGTGCACACACGCTCTAGAATTTACACAATTGGCAGCAACCTGCGATGGCATCAATAGGTTTTTTTTCATTCAATCACCACTAGGGACTATTCTGTGGATACAAGCCATGATTGGTCCATTCACGACACATGAGGTTTGTAAAGGGCCGTCKAAATTGTGCACTACTGGTCTGATATCCTTTATTCTAAGCACCTATATCTTTGTCTTAATTGTCATGCTCGTTTCTCATTCAACGCAGGCAAGCATTTTGTTTTGAAGAGAAAATGAAAAGAAATATACATAAGCCTACACTCCATAATTCATTATAAGGAGTAGGTAATCCCAAATGTTGGGGAGTTCTGACGAGTTGGGAGTAGCATTTTGAACGAGTAACTGCAACTTTAGCTTCTCATCTTTATTAAAGGTGTTACCCACGCCATGCAGTGAATTAGATTTCTTTTGTTTGTAGAGATTTAAATAGGTGAAGCAGATGTTTCTGAGCTTTAAAATAAACCATGAATGTATAATCAATATGGGTAAGTTTGCCCATGGTTTCTTGTATCGTACTCTGCTAAAACATACTCAATGAACCCTTTGACCATACAGGTACAGGAAAGGAATGTGCCAAGCCTAGCTGTGTGGGCAACAACATTTAGAAACTAAACTAGGTTCATTTTATCGAGAATTGTTTATAAAGTGAAATATTTTAATTAACGGTGGAATAGTAGGAGCATTGTTCTAACATAATGTCAACACATTGACTGTAACACTCGAGAAGAGCGTTTAATGCCCATCGTAAAACATCAAATATGGAGCACGTTGGAGCTTATTGATTCATTAAACAGGCAAGGTTTTTTATTATGAGGATGAAAAGAATAGAAACGATACGTTTTAAAGACCTCGTTGTTAAGTGGATACGTTCACGAGTTAGGGATTTCCTTAAACGTGGGGAAATTCCTATTGTTTTTTGAAAATATTCACAGTATTTATGCAAAACCTCGAGGGTCTTTTGGCGTTTCCTCAAAATCTCAGTCAGGAGATTAAGAATCATGATTTTTTTTGAGCATGTTAAATGAACAAAGTCGCACACTCGATGACCTGCCAGAAATTCAACACGGAAACGTCGATAACAGCCTACGATTTGTGAAAAAGACGTCCAATTGTTTTGCGCATGCGCTGTCTAAGCTGAAAATTCAACGAAAAAACAAGCCTAAGATTAAAGTGTGTGCTGACTTTGAAGCATCGCAATCGGCTGCTGTAATGAAGGGGTTATAGACGTCTTTCTCGCGTATAAGGTGCAAAGCCTATCTTTTTGGCTTCTTAGACTCATTTCCCCAGCATTTATTTACCAAATCGTCGGTTCCAGTGAACCCCTCCATGAATATTTAATGACTCCAGTCATTAGCTCAAAGATTCGCATCTCTACTTTGTTTTGAGCGACGGTTTTTTGTGACAAGGTGCCTCTACTGATGGTTGAACGACATGTGCATGGTTGAGCGGCAATAGGCGTACGATCAGTACTTATAATCTCCTGAGGCATTAAAGGATGTACTAATCACTTTCACGAATTTTGATGATAAAAGGCTAAATTATGATCCCAATTTCACTTTTATAAATCATCCAGTAGATAACCAAAGGTAATCATCGAAATACCCTCTCTTTCTAAATTCCAGCAAGGTATAGAATTACGGGGGCGAGGGCCTTGAAGTATCCGTAAGCACAGCCTCTATTTCGCTCGTTTTTGTTATTAAATTTACTTTCTGTCTTTAGTAAACACTGTGTCGGTTTTGTTTTAAGAAATGTTGTCAAACAATCGGCCAAAATTTTCATCACGTTGGAGCTCCCAACAAAGATAAAGAATAGCAGCTATTATGCACTTAGTGGTGCTATCTAACGATACAGAGTTATTAATCTTTCAGCCGAAGAGATACATATACAGACCACGTGCACAACGACCTCTCTCAAAGGCTGTTGTTTTGCACCAACTGTAATAAATGCATATGTGTTTAGTTAAACTAAAGGGCAAAGGTGAGTTGCGAAAATCTTTGTTATACTGGCGATCCAGTGGTTTATTAAAGCTCTGTGGGTTGTTTATGAAAGTCAAAGAGTGAGGAAAGACTGCTCTTAAATTTGGAAATAACGTACCCTAATTTGTGCGAGTTTCAAAAAATTACAGACAAAACACAGGCTGAGCTCTACCGAAAAACAAATTCCCTTTTTATGTAAGCCTTTTTTCTGCTTCAATTTATTGCCTTTTATAAAGGTTTCAATTTTGGACATGAGCTAAACAAAGACCATAGATATTAATAAGACTTACTTCCTATGGTGAAAAGAATCGATGGCTTATCGCGTTACCGGTGGCAATTAAACTAGTACAAATAATTAAGACTGAGGGATAATATGTTGAATAAAATATAGCAAGACAAAGCACCTCTAGCGGTACGGTGTAACAAGATAGCTTTTTAATTTAGACACAGAATAGAAATTAGCAGATGAAGAGTAAATAATATGATTGGCCATCACACATCGTGGAATTTGACTTCAAAATTCAAAAATCTAATTAAAGAAAATAAGTACGTTGAGTCAAAAGTATGAGAGAGGATGTAAGCAAGTGTACGGTTGAGCAATTACTACTTTGTATCGATTTGAAGATGTAAAAAGCTATCCTTGAACGAATGTACGAAAGCGTTTTGAATGGACTAGAGTTAACACAATTTATAAGAAGAAAAAACATACTATTCCTTTATGTTGGTGTACACTTTTAGTAACAGTAGTATTTTGAGAGCAATTCCTTTTTATTTTAACCATTCCCCCTTTTTTYCCCTTCTTTTTTGGTAAATCTGGTTCGATTCGATGCTAAACATCTACGATCGGCAAGCCTTTACTAAGCGAATAAAAAGTGTGGCGACACATCCACACAGTGTAAGGTTTCTTCGGCTTGAGTCTTTGGTTGTGATTAGTTCTACAAATAAGTGATTCCCTATCTGGATTTCTTCCAATCTTGAAAGGTTCTCGAGTTTCCTTTGAAGTCTTAATACCCTAAGCAGGAAAATTATCGTCACCCAAGCAAAACTGGAGTTTTAGCATATTTTATTCTAAATTAAGACATTGTTTTGACCCCAAGTGGACGAAGTTGTTGAGTTTTAAAAGGGGATTTTACCACTTCATTGAAAGGACCCTAGCTTCTGTCTCTTTAATCTGTATATCCTCAATAGACTATCTTCATTGAAGAAAGGATACAATGCAGAATAGGTCTTGTCAGAAAGATCTTTGTTTCGGTCTTCAAATAATTCAGACAGCCCTATACGTCAAATATGCTAATCAGTTCTAAATGCCATATACAACATAATGACACGATTCTAGCTATTACGGCCTTCAATTAATGCATTCTTCATTAATAACTGTTTGTTTAGATTACAGCAGCTGCTTGCTGAAGGCCGAGAACCGTGGGAACTTCACATATGGCTACAATAACACATCAATGCAAGAAAATGTGAGCAACTTTAAACGAAGAAATAAAAAAATAACAGTAACGTTAGATAATTGGCAATGAAATATCTGACAAATCAGTGAAAAAGCATTAATGTAATAAAATCACCCAGTGATTGGGGAAAAAAAGATTTTTCGAAGGATGCCTATAATTAGGACATATCCGATCGTTTCAAGATATTGTTTATCATATTTT